GGGGGGGGGGGGGCTAAAATCACTCTAGGCACAGACGATAAGGTTTTTGACGATTATTTCTGAAAGGACATGCAATGCCGAGAATTTTGCCGCCTTTCTGTACCTTTCTGAACCGGACTTACGATTTTTTTAAAACTGGCCTATTTTGAACTTTGACCAAGAATAACTCGAGAACGAAAAGTTTTAGCGACCTCCGGTTTGCGCCAAAAAGTTTCTTTTTTTATTACCTTTCCAATGATGTATCATAAGAGGGGGGTTACCATTTGAAAATTTCGAGTTAGTGTGCGCCCCTCGCGCCCCATTTTGCCTCTAGTCTTCTTTCCTTGCGGGCACTTTTCTCAGATGTTTTGCGGCGTTTGAAATGCAGATACGACCAAACAGACAAATACATTTTCGACCTTTAGAAACGTAACGATCGACGTTTTCCATTGGAAGACAGTGTTTTTTTTTATCTAAAAACCTCAAAATTCAACCTGTCACTTGAGGCGTTTTGAGCACCGGGAAAAAATTGTTTTTAAATTTGTTTCCTTGCACGGGGCTTCTAATCTATCCACTCATCAACTGTAAGACCAGGACCTCCTTCGAATTCGAAAATTTAAAAAATAAGAAACACCCTAGCGAGGCTCCCTTAGCAATATTTTTCCGTGCCATATAAGATACGGACCCTCAGAACCTAAGGAAATAATAATATTAATAGTTAATGTATTTGATATTTTATAGGAGTTAGCCTTATTTTATTTGTAGGTATTTGTACATTAGGAAAGGGGTATAGAGTTAGTGAAATGGACGATAAAATATTTTGTTGTTCAAGTAATTTTTTCTTGAATTTTGCACATATTTTTATTATTCCTTTAATTTTTAAATATTCAATTTTACTCAATTTTTTACCTCAGTCAGTTAGTAAATTTTTGTTATAAACTTTAAATATTTAAGGCAATGATCTCATTTGATATTTCCATCAGTGTAATTGACATAGGTACTTTTATTTAGTTATTTATCTATATTTAAAGATTATTAGATCGAAACTTCCCCAGTACACAAAATCAAAAACTCCAAAATTGAAATCCGAAATTTAAAATTCATTCTAATGACAAATTAATGTTATTTATCATTCAAATAAATCTTCTGTCAACGTATTAGGTATCAAGAAACCTTCCGATTTTGAGAGAGTGCAATTGAGATTTGTGGTACTTGAATGAGGTTTTTGCGTACGATAACCGATGATGTTCCGGGTTTAATTTCAGGAGCAGAAAGTGATTTGCACCGAGGCTTCGATGGGAGCGGAGTCCCCGCGCTTACGTAATAGCATGAACATGAGGCTGGAGGGTCTGCCGGTTGCCCTGCGCGACGTGAGCAACCACTTCTCGCCGCGCCTCGACCATGCCAGTTTGTCCGATTCCATCGACCGCGTCCAGAAAAGACGAAGCTGCAGCAAACGGCAGAAGAAGAGCCCTTGCTCTGTCTCCTCACACAAGCGACTCCAGAGGAGGGAGTCTGAGCCTCCGTATTTCATGTGAGTACCCTAAACGGACCCGCAGGCCTTTTTCCCGAATCCATACTCCTCCCTTAATTAGCACATATGGACAGGGTTAAGCAGAGAGGAACCAAGCCGCATCCGTTATTGCCAGCAATTATAATTTGATTACATTTTGCAATAAGAAACCGCTATATCTCTGACTCTCCCATAAAAGCAGAAATCTGCATACGGAAGGTACATGTATGTTGTTTCTAAAATTGACCAGAAATAGTGATTCCTTATTGCAAAATGTAATCTAATTGGGCAATTTAATTTTCTTCGTGAAAACGGGTGTGCGGATTTGTGTGTAAAGTCAGTGAATTTTCTGCACAGTGCGATACAAATTCCTTTCCTAACATTTTCAAAGAAATCCACATAAACGTTTTCTAGTAAGAAATTAAATTGCCAAGTTAAATTTGGCAACAGCTGATGTGGTTTGGTTCTTTTCTGCTAAACGCGGTCCATACCAATATACGTATAAAGGCTCCTTTATGCTTCATATACATCGTATATACATATGTATTAACTTGAAATCATTCATAATAGGATCATTTCTTTGTATACCTACATGTTCAATATAATTCAGCATTAGGTAAAGCCTCAGAAATGAATCCTTGTAACCAATCATTGTGATTTAAAATCATTGTGCTGTATCATTGTGAATTAACAGCCCCCCCCCCCAAAAAAAAAAAGAATGAAATTTGTTGACATATTGTGAAGAATTTAAGAAATTGCTTATTCCGGTACTTTTTATGCATGTAGGTGATTTCACGATACCAGGAATACCTAGTTGTGTCTCCTGTGGGCTGCAAAGAACAGAAGCGATCGAAAACCTAGGTTATTAGGGGGCTCTGCCCCCCGGAGGGTGCTTCGTGCCCTCAGGCCAGCTTTGCGGGCCCTTTAGGCATATGTAGGTATAGCCAAAAATGTTCTTCCAGTTTAATACACCATTTTGAGTTTGAGCTGCATCGATTTCAAAATTTTTAACGTTAATGATCACATGTGTAGACATCCTTCATTTAATCTTAGCAACAAAATCTTTCTAAAATGTTACGTTGCCTTTAGGAGCTCATAAATTATTCCACGGGAAGAGCAGGAATACACACAGCAAAATACACCGGGACAAGTGCGTCACTTCAACCGAACCAGGGGGGGCGAAGGGGGGCAGAACGTCAACAAATTTCCATAAATGCACCATCATTAGTCAAAATTACCTAAACAAAGGTAAATTTTGCCAGCCATTTGGGGCAATATGCCCCTTGTCTTCCCAAAGTGATGCCCTCACATCAGAGAAGAAGAAATAGAAGAAACAATAGTCAAATTATCCACCAAAGTAAAAAATAAAAGTTCAAAAATTCTTAGGTTTCCATTTCAACAAACATGAGCGGTGACTAACATTTTAACCGCTGATGAACTTAAAGAAAATCTGCGCTGAACTTTCAAAAAATGTAGTTTTTGACATTTTTTCACATGCGGACGTTGAATTTAACTTTTCTTTTCTTATTTTCCTTAGAGAAAGGAAAGATGTTTTAATTGGGCTGCGTTTAACGCAATAAGAAACGCATCAAGTTCCATGTAGATAAACTTGAGAAAAGGGAAAAGGGAAAAGTGACGAGTTAGTTGAGCTGAAAACAACTACTCCTAACTCAATTTTTCGGAAAATGCGACTTGGTGCGTTTTTGTAAGCGCATTCCACTTACAGGAGAAATTTTCATTTATTATGTTTTTTTTAGATGCTTAACTAAAAATTATGTTCTTTTTAGATGCTTAGTTAAAAAAAAAAAATTGGATTACGACCGTTGAGAGTTAATCATATTTGGTCCACCCTGACGCAACGCAGCGCCTGCCTTCTCAATTTGTATCCGCTGTTAATATTAATAGAAATTCGGCAATCAGGTATTGACCAATGCCACAATCGAAGCCGGAAGAATGATGAAAAATTGAGTGAAAACCTTAGGCCGGGCGGCTCCGGTTGGGATATCCCCCTTACCGTGCTGCGCCGTTCCTCAACTCTCGGAATGAGGAGCCAGGAGCCCTACTCGAGGGTTAGCATTGTTCTATTGTTCATTCGAGTCACTCAGGTAGAATCCCTCACCTAGACGTTTCTAGGGGAAAGGGGAAAGGACAAAGGACACATCCCTCACGATATTAACATTGGACATAAGTCATATGTGTTTTAAAAGCTCTACAACATTAAATTGGGGATTCATAATTTTTTGCACATCTACAGCTATCACAGATGACATACATGTAAGAGTCATCCTTATCGGTCCGGGTGTTCGTCAGAAATAGTGCTTCCAAGATTTTGCTTGTAGCTGTATAATATAGAAATAAATCTAAAAAAATGATGACCGCGAATTTGTCCACTGTTACCTACAAAATAACATGAATATTTACCATTATAGCTAAAAATGTCGAACCTCAAAAACCGAAAACGTCCGGTCAGTTACGCGTCGCTAACTCCGATTTTGAGGCAATTAAGTAATTTTTAGCCATAAATTAGTCATGATTTTTAATTTCCCGGCAATTTTTTGGAAGGGGCTTAATTGTAACATTGGTTTACCTACAAAAATTGTCGTTTACCGCACAGGTGAACATTTCGTTAGAGGTGTCGTTCTATCCAACCCCTGTAGCCTGTACATTAGGATACTCCACAATATTCAACATGGTCGACATCAATCCGCCAAAACACATGTGCCTAGACGAGATTCTAACCATTTGTTAACAACACAGCGTGTTTGAATTTACGATCTCTTCACGTTGATAAAGATAAGGTTAACTTTACGCTCCCGATTGCGACTTGCGCGCGGAAGCATCAGCTTTGTTGGGTATTGTTATTGCAAAACGGTTGACTGGAACATCTCCTCGAACGAAATGTTCACCTATGCCGTATTATCGTTTTTGAAGCAGGAAGCTCAGAAAAACGTACCCAAGTTTCTTACGCAGATTGTGACGTAAGGAGTGCATTTCATACTTTGCTAATGCGCTCACCGTGATTTTTGAGACATTTACTGAAAGATACAACTCTGATTTTTGCTCTAGGAAAAGTTTGCAACTAGCCCATTCTTTCTAATAGCTCAAGAGCTGCCAGGTTCCATATTTTCTCACATCTATCATTTCAAAATTTCAAGTGTCGGTTACGCCGTGTCGGTTACATAACCGACACAATTAAGCCATGACCTAACCAGACTAGGTCAGTCCTTCCGAAAACGAAAATAAGACTTTCATTGCGCATGACGTCAGCAGGAGCCCACTCGAGCGGGAAGTTTGAAAACGCACGAGTTGTCGTTTCCAAGACGCACTTACCTCTTTACAATCTCCAATGATTACTATCAGTACAAACATCCGCAAAACCACTAAACACATCAAAATAACCACATATCATACTCCAAGCCCCAACAGTTTACGATTTTATAACCTTAAACGAGTCTCTCAGGGAATCTCACGTGCTTTTCATGCCGGGAATCAGAGAGGGCTCCTGCTGACGTCACGGCGAAACTCCGGTGGGCGAGGGGTGGCTGTGCAGCCGAGCGGGTGGGGGATCTGCGCAAGGACTAACCTAGTCTCGCTAGGTCATGCAATTAGGCAGCACCGCCATGATTACCAGGACCTGCACCAGTCGTGCGAAAGATGCCGATACCTGCTTGAATGGCTTGTTTGTAAATCACCATAGCTTCGCACTAAATCAAAATTGTTCGTACCAAAGCTGGAAAAAAGAAGTTTAATTAATACCTACCTTTAAAATAAAGAAATGAAAGAACCACGCACAAAACGGGGAGCTCAGGGGCTCCGGGTAGATTTTGATAAAACTTCAATAGATTAAAATTAAGTTTATTATTAGCTCAAAGCCAAAAAATTAGCTCATTGGTCCTAACGAGTAGGAGCCGAGATATTCGAGACTAAACAAGGGCCATTTTCTGTGCGGCGGAGATAAATGGGCGCTCCTCGTCGCCTTTCCTTGTGTTTGAACACTTCAGACTTTAGCTGGAAAACCCCCTTTCTCCTCCAGGTAGCTGCTCGGGCAGTGCGATATGGAGTCCTCTATCTCTTGCACCTCTCCTCCGAAATGAATTATGACTTAAGAGTCGCTGAAACAGAATCGGCAGATTCGGAGAGAAAGAAAGGCGTATGATTTTTGCACGGCTGAACGTATAAGCACCTAAGTGTGTGTGAGGTCTAATCTAAAACGCTTATCAACCAGAAGAGAGGGGATTCGTAAGTCTTCCGTCATACAGTGATATGATGGAAAATAGTCCGGATTCAACCGCAAATATCTTGGCCTTTACACATTGGAATAAGCTATTTTTGGGGCTTGGTACTGATGATTAACTTTAAGCCAATCCACCTACCTATTAAAGTTTTATCAAAATCTGTCGAGATCGACTAAGCCATATGTTCTGTGCGGAGTTCTTTGTTTAAAATTGGTGCCCTTTAATTTTTAAGGTTTTGCACATTTTGTCGGCGATTCCTCTTATCTTGAAATCACTCGTGTAGATACAGGGTTATTCAAAAGTTACGCACCACTGGCCATAACTATAGTTCTAATTATGATATCGATTTGCGGTTTGTGGCGTCTTTCCTCATATCGAGAGGGAACTTTTTACGGTATTTTTCAGTTCTTCAGTCCCCCAGGGGGAGAGGGGCGGGGGGAAACTCAAAAATTTCGAATGGCAACCCCCATCATGTGATACATCGTTAGAAAGAGCATGAAAAAACAAAATTTTTGGCTCAAACCGGAAGTCGATCTGACCGTCGTATCAAAAGTTACGGGGGTTCAAAGGTTATTTAGGGGGTCCGCACCTTCATTTTTTAGAGTAGCTTCGGCGGCTCTTCGTCATACCGTTTCTCTTTTCAAACAGTTCTCAAATACTCCAAGTCTGATACAGAAGTCTTCATATTGCCCCCGGGCCACCACAGCCCCCACGTAGGGAGGGGATGGGCCTGTTATAATGAAACGTTGCATTAAAATGCGAAAAGTCACAGGAGAGCTTCAAACTTAGCATCAAGTCCGAGTGAAACTTTTTGCCAATGTTAACGCAAATGTAGCCTGCGACTTGAAAGTGAGTTTTCAAAACTTTTAGCCCCCTGCCCCCCTCATTTTTGGTTGCAGAGCGGGTAAAAACCGGAAAATTCGCTATAAATAATGCCCGAAACTAATGTCCAACTAGAGGAGGACCCTTGAAACGTGGCGATCAGTCGGAGCATTGAAATACAGGGACTGCCACCCCCTTAAAGTAAGGAAACATCCAAAACACCCCCGCCGCCCCCCTCATTTTTCGTTGCAAAGCGGGTAAAACCGGGGAAATCTCCAGAAATGATGCCCGAAACCATTGTAGAACTTGACGAGGACCCTTGCAACGTTGCAACCAGTCGGAGGACTGCAATACAGGGACTGCCACCCACTTTAAGGACGGAAACATCCATAAAACCCCCGCTGTCCCCCTCATTTTTCGTTGCGGAGCTGGTATGAACCGGGAAATTCGCCAGACTTTATGCCCGAAACAACTGTCCAATTGTAGTGGACCCTTGAAACGTTGCGACCAGCAAAGAACTGCAATACAGGGACTGCCGCCCACTTTAAGGACGGAAACATCCATAAAACCCCCGCTGTCCCCCTCATTTTTCGTCGCGGAACTCGTAAATACCGGGAAATTCGCCAGAAATGTTGCCCGAAACTACTGTCCAACTTGACGAGGACCCTTGAAACGATGCGATCAGTCGGAGGAGTGCAATACAGGGACTGCCGCCCACTTTAAGGACGGAAACATCCAGAAGACCCCCGCTGTTCCCCTCATTTTTCGTCGCGGAACTCGTATAAACCGGGAAATTAGCGAGAAATGTTGCCCGAAACTACTGTCCAACTTGACGAGGGCCCTTGAAACCTTGCGACTTGTCGGAGCATTGAAATGCACGGATTTTACCCGCTCCTTGACGAAATATAAGGGGGGAAGCGGGGTTTTTATGGATGTTTCCGTCCTTAAAGTGGGTGGCAGTCCCTGTATTGCACTTCTCCGACTGATCGCATCGTTTCAAGGGTCCTCGTCAAGTTGGACAGTAGTTTTGGGCAACATTTCTGGCGAATTTCCCGGTATTTACGCGTTCCGCGACGAAAAATGAGGGGGACAGCGGGGATTTTATGGATGTTTCCAACGTTTCCGTCCTTAAAGTGGGCGGCAGTCCCTGTATTGCAGTTCTTCGATTGGTCGCAACGTTTCAAGGGTCCGCTTGACACAAACTTAAAGTGGGTGGCAGTCTCTGTATTGCAGTCCTTCGACTGGTTGCGACGTTGCAAGGGTCCTCGTCAAGTTCTACAGTGGTTTCGGGCATCATTTCTGGAGATTTTCCCGGTTTTACCCGCTTTGCAACCAAAAATGAGGGGGGCAGGGGGCTAAGAGTTTTGAAAACTCACTTTCAAGTCGCAGGCTATGTTTGCGTTAACATTGGCAAAAAGTTCCACTCGGACTTGATGCTAAGTTTGAAGCTCTCCTGTGACTTTTCGCATTTTAATACAACGTTTCATTGTAACAGGCCCATCCCCCCCTTCGAGGGTGTTTGGTGGCCCGGGGGTAATATGAAGACTTCTGTATCAGACTTGGAGTGTTTGAGAACTGTTTGAAAAGAGAAACGGTATGACGAAGAGCCGCCGAAGCTACTCTAAAAAATGAAGGTGCGGACCCCCTAAATAACCTTTGAACCCCCGTAACTTTTGATACGACGGTCAGATCGACTTCCGGTTTGAGCCAAAAATTTTGTTTTTTCATGCTCTTTCTAACGATGTATCACATGATGGGGGTTGCCATTCCAAATTTCGAGTTTCCCCCCGCCCCCTCCCCCTGGGGGGCTGAAGAACGGGAAAGTAACTCAAAAAGTTTCCCCCTCGATATGAGGAAAGACGCCACAAACCGCAAATCGATATCATAATTAGAACTAAAGTTATGGCCAGTGGTGCGTACTTTAGAATAACCTTGTATAAATATAGGCACCGTTAAATATCGACGGTGAAACTACCAAACCACGTATCTCGTTTGCGGTGTTTAAAAATCTACGCTCAAATTTTATTTGTTTGAAGTAAACCAAATCAATATCATTCCTTGAAATTTTCACGGAATTTTCTCCGCACAAAGAGGAAAAATCACAGAAATTTTCAAGACTGGATGTTAAGTAGTTTTTCATTTAAAAAATAAAGTATGACAGGAAGTCTGCGACGTCGCAAACCGAGATACGTGGTTTGGTAGTTTCACCGTCGATATGCCGGTAAAGCCCGCAAAACAATATCTTCGGTTTGAGGTGCTTAAATGTTAGATGGACAAACCACCCTTTTACCACTTTGTTTACCTGCTAAGTTTTTCCTTGTTTCCATCAAGATCATTCTGGAGTTGTGAAAGGAAGAGGGATCTCTTTGATTTTTTGTCTCCGCGCTGCCTCTTTTGTATCCGAAATCTTTCTTTCCTAACACGGATTGTGCAAAACCAGTGGCCTATACAGAGTCTGCGCAATGATGAATTTTGATTAGGATCCATGGACGAGTCTAACCCAATTAAAAAAATTAAAAATCGATCATGTCACACACCTCTGTAAGATGTTTGTGGGGTCTTCTCGCGATGAAAACTCACAAAACATTCCATAGATAATAAACCCAGAGGGCTTCAATTTTAACATGTTGAATGAAAAATCATGACCCAAATATTAGAGCTCCTCGGTGAATTCTCAATGAGTTATTATTGCAGGTTGCATGCTACTCCTTCCCAAACCATGTAAGAATGTTATGAATCTTTCGCAAAGAAAAAAAATCGATTTTTTAATTCATGTTTTAGACACGAGGACGAGGACGAGAATGGGACAAAAGACCGCGGGAAGAATGAGACGAAGTCTGTGTCAGTGATGAGCCCAAACAACTCTCCGAAAAAGAAACAGCCATGCTTGGATGTGCACCATTGCATCAAGTTAGAGGCATCCCCGACCACGGCCGCATGCAGCACCTCCGCGGTGGGCCAGCCGCAAACCGCCAAGGAGCGCATCGTCGGATCAAAGTCGCCCGATTTAAACTCCGCCCTGGTAACACCCCCGCCCACAATATGCCCTCCAGACCGCCTGCGGAGTCCATCCCCGATTCTGCCGGCCTCCACGCCGACGCACTACGACAATCCCGTCCACTTCGCCCTGGAACACTCCCCGCCTGCCGAGCCGGACCTCCTTCTCCACAAAGAGTTACCAATCGCCCGCACCTATAGCCGATCAAAAATCCCGCGCCATCTCTTTCAAGACCTGCAGGAAGTTCAATTGGAGGCTCAGTCAGCCGCTAAAGATATCCTCAATACCTCGAGTGACCTCCTCGAGAGGAAATTTCGAAAGCGCCAGAAAAACGTGAAAAACAAGGGAATGCCTTGCGACGTCTCCCCGTTGGCTAGAAAGCTCGCCTGGCTTCGGCTTAATACACAGCTGACCAAGAACCGCGTGCCGGCGCAGGAGCCGGCATTCGAACCACCGACCGCCATCGACTCGATGGAGCCTGAGGAGGACTCCACCGCCGTGACAGCGCGTCATTTACCCGACGTCATCCTTCGAAACCGCCAGTGCCTCAACCCATTCAGTAGCAACTTATGTGATGTAGGCGAACAGTTAGATAATCTAGAAGATATTAACAACCCCAACTTGACTAACAATAATCGGGTTTCCAAGCGACGTGGGGCCTGCTTCAACGACTTGAGCTTCCTGCTGAACGCACCGCTATTCGGGAATGAGGACATTCCTCCGACTCTGAAACGACAGCGTGTCATAATCCGCAGGCGGCCAAGAAATTCCAACTCCGGATGTAAGGAGGAAATGGAGAGTTTGTCAAAGATTCCCCGGAGAAGAGGTCTTAGTTCCTCTGTCTTGACCCTTCCGAACGGTATTCCTAGCCCGTTCACACAGTTCAACGTCAGTCTGACGGCAGGGGGCAACGGTAGTACACTCGGATTCAATTGCACACCAGCCAAGAGACCCGATTTTATCCTCCTAGATGACCTCGTTCCGATCCCCGGTGATGTTGGTGTCAATGACAACAACAAAAAGCGCAGTAATAATAATGACGTCACTGAAATTGAGTCCATTGAAGGGATAGAACCGTTGAGTAATACGCAAACTGCAACGCTTTCTCTACCCTGCTCATCGATCACCCCCATCACAGTGGCCACCGAAGAGTCGATTATGGATGAGACCATTGCGCTGACCAGGAAGATGAATCAGTGGAAGAGGAAGCTCAACAAGAAGAAGTTAAACTTTGAGGATACGGATCGGGATCTTGATGTCTCCTCAGGGTCGTCCTGCTCGGAGAGTACCTGGGATTCTCATGCGATGCGGCTTAAGACCCCTCGCTTGGCTGCGCACTTTTCCCCGAATTCTTCTTTCGAGCAAGGTTCGTCAATAGCCTCCTTAAAAACCGACGAAACGGATATCAAAATGTCCAGTGATGGTAAGTTGTTTCGTATTGCATGAAGAAACAATCTTCGCTGCAAATGGCAATGGGTACACGATCAACAATTCGTCAATCGTCGATCGTCAATTTCGACCGCAAATAATGTGATGATTGGGCCAATATCCGGGCCGTCTATCAATATTTGCTGGGCTATTTGATATTGACGGCAAAGTACTGATCATGGCGTTATTTCCGGTCTATATTAATTATTTGACCTTACGATTCAAGGCACATTAAAGTTTTTCATAAAAGAAATCGAAGATCTTGACTATCAATATCCAATTTTGGTTCAGATAACCATCGTTTTTTTAGCCACACCAGCACTCTCATTTACTTTGGTTGTGTGGACCGCAGCTTTGTTTCTAAAAGCAAATACTTCCACAAAGCCAGGTTTTTCTCCTTCTCCAATACCTTCTTCTCTCTATACTTTAACATGGAAGCATCAGATCTTCATCGTTTTTCATGCGTTTTTTTTTTTCCTTTTAGTTTTTATTTTCAAGTATACCACTAATTACTCAAACTTAACAACCTACGCTTAATTTACTCCGAAGTTAATTCGGCCATTAAGTGAAGACAAGGAAAAGTTTTCCCTCATTTTGAATTTTTGGCAGAAGTACAAGATAAATATTATAAAATTATAAGACAGCCGGCCAGGTTGGCTTCGTGGTCAGCGATTCTGACTCTAGGCTAATGGGTCCCGGGTTTGAATCCCGGTGGTGGCGTCTAATTTTCACGAAATCGACGAGCAGATCTGCTGAAACTGATTCTACTCGGCCCTATTCCCTGAAAATGTGAAAAGCCTGGAGCATGGAGGTGCCTAAATCCCTAGATGTCCTCGGACACTAAAACACAGTCTAAAGGTGGCTGAAGGTGCTAGACACGAAGCCATAAAACCAGCAGAAAAAAAAGAAAGAAAAAATACATTTAAAGACTAAAAGAGCAAAGGAGAGAGTTTGACGCAAGGAGTATCGTCCATGTCATTTCAACCTAGATCTGATATAAGAGCCATTGGCTGACGGATATCATTATTTTTTCAGTCTCCTTCCAACACATAGTGTCTAGTCCTGAAATATTAAGCGTACGTCGGTCCAAATCTCGCAGATGTTTACTTTTTGATTCGCCACGTAAGTTTAAAGGCTCAAAATCGAAACTTGTGGGTGATGAAAGTTAGTCATGGAAACGAGGGAAAGATAGAAGTATGCTTCCGAAAGGTAATTGAATGTCACAATACTGTGAAAATACTATATTTTTCCAATTCTTCATTTTCTGTCACTCACACGACTTCATAAACGTTCCCATCAAAAGTAATATGAGATAAGCCTTTTTTATTCTTACCTAACAACTGTCTTTATTCGCTGATACATCTTTCTTCCTCTAAGAATTTAGTGCATGCTGAATGAATAATCGTTTTGCGGGTCTCATTTTTTGCAACAGGAAATTGAATTATTAAAAAAAAAAAAAAAAAAAAAAAAAAAACCTTTTCTTAATGTATACCCTCTCGATGGATTTTTTTTTAGTCCTTATTATTTTAATGGTTTCAAGCAAACAATTACTTTTTTCTATTACCTACTCAAAAAAAAAAAATGATTTATACAATAAAGTACTAAAAAGTCGCCTCAAATACTGCAAAACTGATGAGATCACTGTTTTGGACCAGAAACTGTATCCGAAATGAAAACGCGTGCCTCAAATTTTTCTTTAAAGTCAGGTTTTACATAGTCGTCGGATAATTTCACAGTATTTAGATTAAGTCACGAGGGCGCGCTTGGCGCCGGGAGCATAACACCCTACTTTCTTTCTTAAGTACCTAATGAATCTGCAACTACGTATTTATCTGTTTCAGCCGAACTAGAATTATCTCTTAGCGTTCAGAGTAACATCGTCTTCGCTTACAGTGAGTGTATATTTATTATTCTTGTGTTTGCTTGAATGTTTATTTTTCAAGAATTAGTTAGGTAGGTATACTTGTAATCATATTCGGCGATTTGCTATTACTTTACTTCGCACGGTGACAGTGATGAAATAACTTTTCAAATACATTTTTTCCAATTTTATATACATTTTTTTAAAAATCCAAACCAGCTCAATTAAATATACATTATCATTAACCGTTTATATACCTTTTGTATACTGTAAAACTCTACGATTATTTACTTTCATTGGGTATGATATTACAAAATTATTTTACATCTTATGATCGGAATATTTTCTCATTGTTTTTTTTTTTCAGTTAAAAGAGGGAAAAATCTAACGAAAGCTATTGGCTGTACTCCTCTGAATGCATATGTAAAGGTAATTTCATATTCTCCTTGTAAATTTCCTCTTGTTCAATTAGCAAGATCTCTTAAGAACCTAGGTCCATATTTCCTTTCTCATACTCGAGTTTTTCGAGTTTCATGTTTGAACTTTTCAATCACTGCACCTATGATTATGTCTGGTTACTTGGTAATACAGAAATTAAGATATTATCTTGCTCAGTTCCAAACCTGTCTTTACGCTTTACGAAGGACTATTTCCCCTACGCGGTGAATTGACGAGAAAAAAATCGCCATTATTTTAGTGAGTACTTTTACCGTACATCGTTTCTACAGTGAATTAATTTTTATGCTTAGACATTTTAAATTACAACATACTCGGTTTTTTTCTCAGGTCAATTTGGTGCCTGCAGCCTCTGAGAAAACCTATTATAGAACATGTGTGCGGAAAAACTCTATGAATCCTAGATTCGATCAAAAATTTAGTATGGAAATAACTGAAGCGGATCATAGCAAAAGAATCCTATTCTCTGTTTGGCATCGAGATCGGGCAAAAGGGTAAGTACTGTCTACGGAGTATTGAAAGGACCATCCACTTTTTATTTTCCAGTATTGTTAGCGAGCCTTATACAAATATTACTCTATCTTACTATATCTTACTCTATAATTACTAGCCGTGATCAGCTCGCTGTACGAGCAGTCACGCCTAGCCGGGGAGTGCCCTGGACCGCCGCGCCGGTTCCTCACTTCACGATGAACTTGCGACTCGCTCCACCAGCCGCCCCTCATGGCTTATCTATTAACTTTTACAACAATAATGAAAATAATAATAATAATAAGATAACATTTTCGCCGCTTTGGCAACGGCCCCTTTCTTGGATTTTGAAACCTTGAAAATCTGACCAAAACTTCGAGATTCTCGTCCAAAAGTACCTCTTGATCCCAATTTTCACAAAAATCTGTCGAAAAATACCCCCTAAATCCTGTAATTTTGTCCATAATGCTGTGACGTCACGCGACAGGATTTTAAAACTGAGTAGAAAATTACTGAGAGTAAAACCATATGGGAGTGAAAAAAAAGTTAGTAAAAGACTAAAGTAAAAAGGAATAATAAAATAAGAAGGTAACAATATATAACGAATAAAAAAATAAGATAAATAAAAAATGAAGTTAGGTAAAAAAACAAGCAGTGAACTCCAACACAATGTGTTGATAAGGCGCGTCATTAACTCGCATTTATCAACCCTTTAGTTTTCATTTACAGAGATTTCAAAATAGGCAAGTGGCACAACAAGAGAATTCATACGACCCAACACTTCAACGACGCACTTTGACGAGACCGTGTATTGTGAATGTAGAAAGCTATATTCGATCAATTTAAGTTTTTTGATCTGCCTGAAGCAAAATCTTATCAGATTCTTGAAGAAAAGTGCTACGATATAATTTAAGCGAAGAAAGGAAAAATTCTGTCGAACTCCTAGAGGATAAAGTCAATTTAAAGGTATTTTGGGGCTAAAATACCCAAATCACCGTTAGTATAAATCCCTTTATATTATTGAAAAGAAATTGACTCGATATAAATGCAATTGCTTTAAATATGTCTTGATTTTGTTACTTTAAACGTCTTTCCATGAAAAGAAGTTTAACCATGTCTATGCTTTATTCATTCATGAATTGAAAGTAAGAAATCTACATCCCGAAAATCTACCGATTTGCCGTAAATAATCGCAGAAACTTGATTTACCAGGTCGATGTACCCACTCGTTGAATTTACGAATCAATTTCGTGAGTGCACATACGTAAAAGTCAATATGCTATAGTCATTTTGGGTGCCTTTATTTTTCAAGAAACAATTACAAATAATTTCAATCCCGAAGAACCATCAATTTTCCGTATAAAATCGAAAAAATCAAAATATGTTCACTCCCTGACGTGAAAATTAGAGTCTACGTGTGAAAATGCTTATGCATCGATATGCTGAACAAAATCCATGTCTATGTCAAAATTTTTCTCAGAGGTTTGTGTTATTATCAGCTTCCCTTGAACCCCCGGTTCGATGGCCGAATCGGCTGCCCAAAAAGCAAGACATCTTTGAAGGGTTGTATGAGAAATTCGTGGTATTATCGGCTCTCAGGAAATCACCTCATGGCTAGAACTGGTGGTATAAATGTTTGAGTGCTTAAAATAATCGTATTAAAGAAACTAAGGCATTAAACTATGCAGTCAATTTCTTTTTAATAATATAACGGGATGTACTACCGGTGATTTAGCTATGATAGCCCCAGAATACTTTTAAAGCGCCTTTACGTTCCCGAATCTCGACGAATTTTTTTTTTTTTGCTTAAACGACTCAAACGACACTGTAGTTAAAAATATAAATAAATTTCGATTTGGATATGTAAAACATGTTTAACTCGTGGAGGCACACTGTGTATTGTATGGAGTACTGTTGCTATTCGACACTTGTCTTCAGGTCAAAATTCTTCCAAGAAAGCCCCATGCAAGAGGCGAATTTTTTGTAATTACTCCCAATTTTTTCTCCGTTATATCATGGAATTGCTTGTTAAATTCTGAGGTCAATTTTATCTAATTCTAATTTATACATTTCTTTTTTTCCCCTTCATTTTATATTTCGTTTGGAGAATTCGAGGTTTTGTTGATTTCTTCAGATTTCGCATACTGTAACTTCTCTTCTATTCGGCCGATTATTATGAATGAGACCTCTTTTAATGCGTGTTTTAACGAAGAGTAAGGAAAAAATTGCTAAGTACACGCGAAACATTTTTTTTTTTGAAAATTGGATGAATCCTAGCGTGACGGTGAAATGGTTAATCAAGCGTAAGTAATTGGGCGAGGAGCTGAGGATCCCGGCCGCCTGGCGACCCTCATCAGCTATTGTTCGTCGGGACGCCGACGCAGTGATCAAGAGCGTGGGGAAGAGAGGGCTAAGTGGATTCCTGTATGAGCCACGTTTAGCAAATGGTCTAATGAGTCTCAAGGCTCATCACAGATTGCACTTACGGGTGCTCTGGCTATCAGAGCAGTGGTACCAAATTTTGAAAAGCATAAGAGGGGTGTGGGGATCCCTCAAAGCAACGTTGTGAACGAAACGAAGGAGTTAAATTCTCATTCGAAGAGTGCCAACTTGCTCAGCCATCCTCGAATCATTTCGCTTGCTTCTGCTTATATATGCATATTTCAAATCAGGCGCATTCTTAGGCTTTCTTGAAAAAAAACTAAGTAACGTAGACTCTTGGTATTCACTGCACATAAACTGGAAAGCCCCAGAATGAGAAAAAACTTTAAATCATAATTATTGACAGTCACTTTTCGGTAAGGAACTAAGGGACTCGGTTATTGTATCGAGCAGGGTTCGAAACGATCGCAAAGGCGGTAGACTACGTATACGCGCCAATAAGATGAAGTAAAGTAAGAAAATCACATCGGCGGATAACAGCGAACTTATAAGAATCTCGCAGGTATGAATCAATGACTATGATATTGTTCAAAGTTTACGCCATAATAATTTTTTCCAAAATCCGTGCTCGTGAAAATTCTAAAAAGACGTTCGTCAGATCGACACCTAAAGAGAAACATATAAAGAATTTGACGAGAAATCAATATTGGGCTCTACGAGCCTTTCCTTTTATTTCTGTTACACTTCATTTGTAAACTGTCCATGGAAAATTCGTAGTACTAAGCGCACTAACAGTATGCAGTATACAGGTCGCACGAAGTCGGAGACCGCGGGGTTGGACGGGAAATTGACCCAAAGGAATCCGAATTTCATGGTCCCGAAACCCCCACAGCCCCCTCGGGGGCAGAGGGGGGAGATACGACCCCAAAAGTCAAGGTCCCCGATAAATTTGCGATTTGATTGCATTAAAATCGAAAAGTACGGAAAATTTCACGTAAAATTGACACCTAAAAATCCAAAATTTGACCACTAAAAATGACATTTGGGGGGGTAAAAAGGGGGGCACAATTTTCCCCGATTTTTCAAATTGTGCCTCCTCCATTTACCCCCCCCCCCCCAAGGGCGACTTTGGGGTTTCGGGGCCATGAAAATCGGATTCTTTGGGGTCGATTACCTGGGAAACCAATTTTTCCCGGAGAATCTACGTCAAATTTTGACCAAAGGGAAATTATAGAGGGGGTCGCCGCCTCCTCTTCAAGGAATAATTTTTAGGAGTGAAGTGGTCGAATTTTAGATTTTTAGGTGTCAATTTCACGTGAATTGTCCGTTTTTTTCGATTTTAATGAAATCTAATCGCAATTCTATCGAGGACCTCGACTTCCGGGGTCATAACTCCCCCCCCCTTCACCCTCCAAAGGGGGCTCTGGGGATTTTGGGACCATGAAATTCGGATTCCTTGGGGTCAACTTCCCGTCAACCCCGCGGTCTCTGACGTCGTGCGACCCAAATCAACCGAGAAAAAGGCCTAGTGCGGGTGGTCTGAGACACCTTGTAGGTCATTTAGTACGTACAGGCGGACTTCCTCTTTTTCTCGAGCGGGAAATTTGAAGCGACGAACACAGTAGGCGCATGATTTCCTCACCCATGGGCTGAATATCGACATTTCTCAATGTGTCCTGTCTGCTCTGCTTGAATTTTTGTGAGACTGCATGTGTGGTGCTGTTTTATCTCTGTTTGATACTTTATTCCTCACAATTTCTCGTTCATTGTCCGTTACAGAAAAAGGACTTTTCCGACTTCTTCGGGTAACAGGACTTTTGGTCCAATTTTCTGTGTAACGTGTCTCTTCTTGGGTTTTCACCTTTAAACTCTCGTCCAAGTGAAATTCGTCCAAGCAACTGGTTAATCCTACGTTTTCGTTTGTCTCGCGTTTTTCGACAACATATTCGTTGTTATATTAATCTTTTAATTATCTATCAAACAAAAAAAAAGGAAAATTAGATCGGTTCAGTGGATCTCGATCTATAGCGGCTCAAAGGACGCGCTCGGAGGCCATTTTTAATGGCTGCCATCTTGGATCTGCCACCATTTTGAAAATGCCTCTCCGACTCAAAACTCTTAAAATATCACCTAGTTTGACCTCCCAAAGTGGCAAAACTGAATCACGATTTGCAGCGTACTTGCCATAAACCACCGCACTATACAGGGTGTTTCAGACCACCTGTACCAGGCCTTTTTCTCGGTTGTTTTAGGTCGTACGAAGTCGGGGACCGCGGGGTTGAATCGGGAATCGACCCCAAGGAATCCGAATTTCGTGGTCCCGAAACCCCCGCCCCACCGCCCCTTGGGGAGTAAAGGGGGGGGGGTCTTGATGCTAAAAGTCACGGTTTCCGACCGAATTGCGGATAGATTGCATCAGAATTGAAAAGCACGGAAAATTTCACGTGAAATTGACCCCTACAAATCCAAAATCGGCCCATCTAAGGCCCAAAAAAGGACTCTGAATTTCATGGTCCCTGAGCTCCTCGGGGTCGATTACCTGGGAAATCGTCTTTTTCTGGAGAATCGACGTCAATTTTGCGACCAAAATGGAATCTTGAGAAATTTTTGGAGGGGGCAAAGCCCCCCTCCTCAGGGGGTT